ATTGTTCCGCTTCTTCAGCTGTTTTCGGAAGACGATTTCCACTATATGGCATTTACTCGGCATTTTCGCAGGAAATGCAACTTTTGTGAGACAGTATAGCTCACTAGAAATCTAGAAGGGAACACAAACATGTTCAGTGTTGTTGAAAAGTAGCCAACAAAATTGGAAAATGTATTATTGTAATGGCAACGAGGACAGCAGGTTATTGGGGTCGGATGTGGCTCAGGAGGTGAAATGATTCATTCATTAATCCCTGGCTTCTTCCGTTGGCATGTCAATTTGTCCTTTTCATGCCGAACCACAAAAAACTCTCCACTTAATGCAGTGTATCCATCTCTCTCTCTTTCTCTGTGTACATGTGTGCGTGTGTTTGTGTGATAGGAATAGCGATGTATGTACTGAGTAGAAAAAGTACTTTATGATGTTTGCATGTGGATCGATGAGTGGCCTATCATGCGAAACACTTTCAGTGGTCAATAAGAGCACTACATAAATGCATTCTGTGGGTCATCTCCGGTAACGGTTCTCAGTATTACAGTCACATTTGGATACAATTGATTGCAGCACGAGACTTTGCAAGCTGGAAAAGATACTCATTGTTTTCTGGTAAATTGAAGTCTTTTGACACATATTATGCAACTATAAAAGGTCATAAGTTTTTGTTTTTTTTACTTTATAGCATGCTCTGCTGCAACAACACACACTGTGTTTCATGTGCTTGTGTAACTGTCAACTGATCAAACATGACCTTTTCATGTAGGAGGTCAGGTCAGCTTATAGTCAGTCCATCAAAGGTGCTCTAGAACTTCACTGTGAACTTCTCACCACTTCTTGACTCACTCTCCTGCAGACCCTACCACTGCTCTGCAATCCCCACCCAGCGGGTAGAGCCTGGGGAAGTTGCACACAGTTGCTGCACACTCTTCTGCCAAAGACACTCTTTCAAAAGAGAATCTTAATGTCAAGATTTATACTTCCTGGTTAAGTAGCTTTAACTGCTTTTTCACTGACAGATATTTTATTCACAATTGAACAATATGGCAAATATATAAATTGAGAAGCTGTACTGCTGTTAACAACAATATTAGCTCATTTTGGAATTTCATTCCAACAGCGCATCTAAAAACATGGGAACGAGGGCAACAATCGGGTGGAGAAACATTTTACAGCTAATGAGGTTAACTGGCAGCAGGTCAGTGACATGATTGGGTTTAAAAAGTGCATCCTAGAGAGGCAGAGGTTCACCAAGCTGCAAAAAACTGTGTCTACAAATTGTGGAACAGCTGCAGAATCATGATCGTCAGTGTAAAATGGCAAAGACTTTGAATATCTCATCATCTGCAGTACATAATGTCCTCAAAAGATTCAGAAAATTGTTGAGAAATCTCTTTGTGCAGGGGAAAAGACTGGAAATCAATATTGGATGGCTATGATCTTTCGGCCCTCGGGCAGCACTGCATTAAAAACAGGAACGATTCTGTCATGGAACTGTGAGCACAGTTCACTGTGCCATCCGCAAATGCAGGTTAAAGCTCTATCATGAAGAGAAGAAGCCGTAATTGGACACGATCCACGAACGCTGCTGTGTTCTCTGAGCCGACGCTCGTTTAAAATGGACTGAAACAAAGTGAAAAACTGTTCTGTTCTCTGTACATCTATTACATCTGCATGACATTGTATTTGCTGAACTAACCTGTCTTTAGTCCAGACCTTTCACCAACTGAAAACATTTACAGCATAAATAAGTGAAAACTTCAACAAAGAAGAGCCAGGACTGATGAGCAGCTAGAATCATATATCAGACAAGAATGAGACAACAAAAGACCAGCAGCTGGTCTCCTCAGTTCCCAGATGTTTAAAAGAAGATGGAAATGGTGCACAGTGGTAAACATCGCCCTGTCCCAACTGTTTTTAAACATGTCGCTGCCATCAAATTCAAACATTTGATGCGCTTTCTGTGTTCTGTTAATACCTGTTTATGATGTTTGCAAATCATTTCGTTCTCCTTTTATTTACATTTTACGCAGCATCCCGCCTTTTTCAGCATTGGGTTTGGAAAAACACTATCCTGCCAGCCTCTTTATGCACGTACGGGGCCCTAAAATGCAGAAAAAAACCTTCAGATGCACTATAAACATCACATCTAGATTTATACTAACGGATTACTGCTATAACGCAGCACATAAAAAATAGGTGCAAGTACTGTGATGTTTCACTTTTATTTACTTCATAAATGTTTATATGACAGCAGGTATAAAGTAGCACGGCTACAAACATGACAGCAGGGATATCGAAGGACTAGAAAGCCTTTCATTATGTTCCCTTTCTATGAAGAGAGCCATGTGCTCTCCTGTTTACCAGTTGGTAGTGCAGTTTTGATGGGATGCCAGAGAAAGTGTTTATAGAGAAGTCTCAGGATGCTTTATAGCTGACAATGCTGCAAATCTTAGGATAACCTTTTCCTTTCCTACATCATATACATCAAATTTGCATTAAATGACTCCAGAACGGACCTCAGCAGCTTGGGAGGGATGCGGCTTTTTATGAAACATCTGAGGAAGAATGTTCTCAAAAGACAAACCATTTCCTACCCGGAATAAAGCAGATGGTTTACAAACAAAGTGGATCTGGTGTGAGCCTTTTCTCCAAGTGTGTCATACTCGATGTCTGAAAGTGTCTGGTGCACGCTTCCTGCTGGCAGCTGAGGCCTGAAAACCTGGAATTACAACATCACTCTGAAAGAGAAGGTTGTAAGCATGCTCTGTCCACAGCAGATGGGATCTCCAGATGGATGTTTGGAGACAGTGAGTCAGCGTAATGTTTTCTATGAGCCCTGTTTTTTCTGGGGGTTTTTTGTTCTTACTGTCTTTGGCATGCTTCATTGCGGGATAAACTTTCGGGTGAATCTCGTATCGAGAAACAAGCAGAAAGCCTTTTTCCAAACTAACAGTCATCCCATTCCAGACACTACTCAGTCTCAGTTATCATAGAAGCAGTCACATGAGAGGCTGCGAGTCTGAGCCACTCTTGAAAAGTTGTAAGCAAACTTTATGCTGACAGAAGCATCCAGCTGATGGTGTTGTCTCGATGTCTGATTCTGTAAAAAGGGGAATATCTCGAAACACACGAATGGCCTCAGTGTGAGGAACTCCACTCCAGATGTGCCTCAGGAATACTTAAATCTGAATCTGATTGGGCACTGGGTAGCTCTTAAGCCTCTGTGGCTCTGAGAGTTGATGACAACGATAATTTGACTTTATTCATCTATTCATTTTGCTCTCATGATTGCACATCTCCAAGTGATATAGTATTATTTCCATATTCCTCACAGTCCTCTTGGCTCCGGCTGGCTGTGCTGTAGCTCCGTCCACTTGCAGAAACGCCAGAAATGTTTTGTTTCCGTGCTCGCTGATATCGTCGCTCTGAAAAAAACGAAACCTTAAGATGCCAGACAAATCGTGTTTGTGCTTTAGTCTGCTGCTGCTTGCCTGGTTCCAGTGACTGCTTAAAAAAACATGTTTCTTTGGATGTTAAATGTTAACTAAGTTTGGCTGGCGTGTGCTGAACATGCAAGGTGTGCCTGAAGGTCGGGTTAATGAGCGAAGTGAGAGTGAACCGAGACAAAATGACAGTAAAACACATTCTGAGATGAGCTGCAAAAGATTATTTGTCTCATTTCTAGATATAAGGATGGATAAGCAGAAATGACAGCACCAAATTTAATGCAGTGCAGTGCTAATGAGTGTATGCACACACACCCAAAAGCTCTCAAGCAAACAATTCTTATTTCCTGCTTTCCCTAAACAGCTGTTGGTCATAGGTTCAGTCCTGTGTCAGATGTTCCAGCTCCCTAGGTTATTTTAGTTACTCTAGACAGCGCCGGTGTTTAGTTATGAGTCCTTAATCACAGGAGGACCTTTTCTCACTCTCCGGCAATAAACAGAGAGATTGGGTGAGGGAGAAGATGTTGTTGCCTCTGGTCACAGATAGAGAGTGCCATCGTGACAGCACCCATGCTCTCTATAGCTTTTATCTACCTCTGCTTTTTATAGTCAGAGGCACTTCATGTGATTCTTCCTGGTGCGCTCAGAGCATGTGAAAGGCAAAGAAGCTGTCTCTGAGGAAATAGGCAACTTCACAACAGATAGCACCTCAGGGAGTGCAGGGGGAGAGGGAGGGAGGGGGGGGGGAAGCCTGAGTATGCAAACTTGGGAGTGAGAGTAAGTAAGGTGAGCTCGAAGGCCAAGCCAGGCGACGGCTTAATGTTTATACACAGGCGGAATTTGGAAAGGAAGTAATTATGAAGCACAGTTTGAAGTTGATGAACAATATGTTCCTTAGGATTGCAAGGGAGAGAAGAGGGGGGAAGTAGAGGGATGGAAAGAGGGATAGAGGAGCAGAAGGAGGTAATCTGTCATGCTTCCACTCCCTGTAAATCAGACGTCCATATTTAGTTGGAAAGAGGGAAGGCCTCACAGTAATGTAAACAAAGCCTGGGGGAGGGAAGAAGGCAGGGAGAGTTTATCATCAACACTAATGTTTGAACGGCTAGCACGGCAGTCAGCATGGTCTTTAGGAAGAGACAACAGACAACGGAGCTGATAGAGCACAACTGAAGGTAGAGAGGTAGCTTTTGATTTTCTGAGCAGTCTTGTCTAGTCCATTTTAGATTTTGAAAACAGGTTTTTATTCTTGAGATCTCTGAGAGAATTTCGGAGCAATGATGAGCAGGACCAGATCCTCACCCATTTCATATGTCATGTCACACAAAAGTGTTTAAACAAACCTGACGACAACATTTTTCAAAGGGAGAGCGAGCAAAGAGGGAGCGATCGCTTGACCACTGACCATCTATCTATTCATCATGAACGACCTGTGCTCCGAGAGCTCAGAGGAAGAACAATCTGAAGTCGATGAGACCCCCCGGGAACAAAAGCTGTCCCGGCTTCCCGTGATTCAGCTCATGTCCAGGACCGTAGGGGGTTCCACGGGAGGATCTCCAAAGGTTTCACCCAAGGATTCGCCGCGCGGGTCTCCTCGAAATTCCCCGCTGCTCTTCAGGAAGCTGCTGATGAACCGCAGCATCAACCTCCAGAGGCGCCGCTTCACCCTGGCCCACACCCCCAGGTAGAGTTTATGACTGCAGCCAAGATGATATAGATGACAGCTGTTGCACTTTGCATTATTCTCACTCAAAATAATGTAAAAAAAAAGGTTATTTTTCTGCAGATTTTGAAGATGTGTTAATGTTATGCAAGTTCTGCTCCAAATCCACCAACTAGGATTCTTATCATTCAAAAGCCATCTATTCTTATCGAATGTTCACATTTAGCACATCATTTAGACATGGATGATGCATATGGAGGGGGGTGGGGGGCTATGTAAGGGTTGTTTGGTGCTCTTTGCTGTTCCTTTTGGTATTTGGTAAAGAACAGCAGCCTTATGGCCATTTTTACTCCACTTGGTTGGAGATGTTGATGCGTTCAAGTGTATTTTTGTCCAAGTGTTTCACACCACAAAAATGGTTGCCCTGAAGCTTATCTTATTAAAGTAAGACTGACCACAAGATGTTCTTATATTCATGCCTTTCAGTCATGCCTGCTCTCCTCTGCCAGGATAAAACTAGCCTTTTTTTGGTAAGATCTAATCCAAATTTTGTTCTCATAATGTGCTAAAGTTTCATTTCCATAAATAGACCTGCCCTTATTTACTGACTGCACATAGGTGTGTGGTTCCTGCTTGTGTTTAGCTTTTTCTTCTTTCTATGAAATCTGCTAATTATAGAATTCATTCACAGCAAAGCTGCTGATGAGCATTGAGTTTATAATAAGAAACGCTTTTCCAAACCCGCTGTCAGCTTTAGTGCTGAATTACCAGGAGTGTTTTTCCTAAGCTTTGTTCACCTTTTGCTTTCCATCATGTCAGTAAACACAGCTCAGCGACATCCTTGTTGTCACAGGATCAGCAGTTTGTTGTTCCACTTGTTAAGGACACGCTTCAATCTTTCAGCAACGTCTTCTTGTTTAACAGCCGCACTTTTTAATCGCTGCACTCGCTGCGAAAGCACACCTCAAACAACTGGATATTTCCTGCCGAGTTTCAAACACCTTAAATTTATTCTTCCGTTGCAGCGGTCATAAATCTCTTTGGAAACAACGCAGCAGTCTCTCTATCAGGCAGCGCTGCTCTGGTACCTGTTGATAGCTTTAGTTTTATGATCCGTTATTGAATCACGTCAGGCTCATGATTTTATTCTTTTCAGTGCAATTTAAACATTTACCTAGTCCCCCAATTAGATTGCATTTGACCATAACTTCTCGAGATAGGGAGAATAAACAGGACTCAGACGGGACTGTGTATTTCTCTTCCCTCACACCTGTTGGTGTCCTCAAAAGAAGAGCCTGTTGTGGAAAATTGTAAAGCACTTTAAAAAGCAAATGTCTCCAGTGTGTACTCTGAGCATATAAACACTCAGATGTAGGCACCATGCAAATCGGCGCTGTTGCACGGTGTCTCCTGCTTGTTGCACTGATGTCAGGCACATCCACCTCAGTGAAATCAGATTAAAAGCTCGAGAGAAACTCTAGCTGGTGCTGTAAATTCCTGCCTTACTTTTATTGGCAGGAGCATTCCTACGAGAGCTGGGTGCCCCGTAGGAAATCTAAACATGCAGCATTTAAACGGTGGTGTATTTGACATTGGTGGATATGTTTCTATTTCAGAGTTTATTGTAAACTGTTTAATTGAGCTCGGGGTGTCTGTTAAAAATCTAAATATTAGAGCAAAAGAAGTCAAGTGGACTTCAAGGCTCAGTCTTGATTGTCAGATATCTGGAGGGCAGCGCAGATACTCAACATGTCAGGCTTTGTTTTACACAGCTCTGAGGCCAGGCCATTGAGGAAGTTTCCGCCTGCAGTGTCACAGCTCAAATAAATGGATGGACATGAGTTATTGCAGGATGACTGGCAAGCAGGAAGAATTAAACAAACTGGGGGTCCGGCGGAAAATTAATGTCGCAGGCCGCTCAAATATAGAACGTGCGCGCAAATTTATTTTCACTTTGTGTCTAAGTTGATGAAGTCTCTTTTTCCCCTCCAGAGACACCGAGTCAAAAGGATTTTTTTTCCATGAAAAACTTTTAAACATTCAATAAACTTTTTTTTCAAGCCAGCTCTGTGATGACAGGTTTTTTTTTTTCCATTCAGTGTTTCAGTCACGTTATCTTAATGGAAATAAAAACTGTCCAGAAAACACGCAACTTGTTGCTTTATTTATTGGATGTATTCATTTCTCGAGCAGGAGTTTTTAAAATAAATAAAGCAGCGTTATCACTTGCAACTAAAGTGGTTTCAGTTTGCAGATCGTCGACTGTATTTCTTTTTAGAGAAGTGGCTGTGTAGACAGGTGACAAATTAAAGGGGAAAAAACCAACAAACTAAATCCTAGCAAGGTGTTGTGCCACCATGATCTGCAAGAGCACTGTTCAAGTCTCTGGAACTGATCCCTCCTTCGGTGCTTTGTTTTGATGATAATACTGGAAAGCTTTGAACTTTCCCACAGGTGCTAAACTGCACAGATCCGGTGTGAAGGGAAAAGGATGTGATTGTTTTCATGCTCAATAAACCGTTCAGGGATCCCTCAAGCCCTGCAGATGAGAGCACTTTCATCATGGAAGAGATTACTCCTCTCAGAATACACATTTTCATTTGTCCCCCATTTATAGGTGATGATCCTGACTTATTTCTTTCAATTTGAGCCACTGAAGTAATAATCCTGGGTCACTACTTCCATTAAAACATGGGTACATTGTTTATTTAAACCTTGAGCTTCTGCATATCGGTCATCTGCTCAACCCAGTGAGCTGCGCTCGCAGCCTCGACAGAGGTGTATGTTAAAATAGCAGAAGAAAAACGTGTGGCGACGCTGAGGATCCTCAATATGCATTTCCCCTTCTCTTCCACTAGAGGACATTAAGTTGTGAGATGCGGGCAGAGAGCCTCTCCGGAGGATGCATTTGTGTTTCTCTGATGGATCTGAGTCGGGGAAAGAGACATTTCCTTTGCTGGAGTTCGACTCTGTGGGGACTCAAATATTTTTAGGGGGGAAATGAGATGAAAAATGTTTTTCTAGCCTGATGCTGTTGAGAAATGTTGTTACTGGATCAGAGAAATTTTCTTTTCTTTCTTTCCTTTCAGTCTTGGACTGATAAGTATTAAGAGTAATGGATGGATTACAAACAGTCTTAAGTTTATCGATGTTCCAGCAGAAGGTTTAGCAGCCTGTAGTTGTTTAAGTTTTGCATTTTGATTGTTTCTTTGTTTCTGAGAATTCTTCACTTCCAAGTCGCTTCTTAATTAATTAGTTATTGGAGTAATGACCCCAAAACTGTTTTCCTTCTCATTAGGAAATATTTCCTCTTTTACTAGAAAACTTCTCTGAAATATTTCCACAATTACATGTTTCACTGTACCTCCCCCAAAATAAATAAATAAAATGAAATAAATAAAAAAAGATGGACTTATATTTATGATTTTAAAATTATAAAAGCTCAATATTGGAAAAGGAAACCCATTTTTTAGTTGTTGTTTTTTTTTCACAAAAAGAAAAATGATGCACTCTTAAAATTCTTCTTTTTCACTTTAAAACATAAAAAAATACATTTTTAACACAAAGTAATATTAGTCTCCTTTCTCAGGCAGTGACCATCATTGTCCACACCCTCTCTCTTTGTGCAAGTTGCTCTCACTCACTCTCTCCCTCTTTACCACACAGCACCCTACCCACCTCTCTCTCTCTCTCCCTTCCTCTCTCCCTCTCTCTCCCTCTCTCAGTGGAGACAGTGTTGTTGTTTGTTGTTTTAAGCCCCGGTTTGGTCCCACCACTCTCAGGAGAGAAGAGAAGAGAGAGCAGAAGTCTGTTATGGCCCGCTGACTGGGACTACATGGGACAGCCCACTCCAGGGAGCATCTGATGGGATTATAACACTCTTTCCAGCTTTTTTCTTTCTTCCTCCTGCTCAGAATAACTCTACTCATTCTGTTGGTAGTCCACTTTCACAGAGGCAAAACTGTGTTGAGGTTGTCGGACCTGACTTTTAAAGATAAAGAATACCTGGAGGTTGTTGGTGAGGAATTCGGCTTTGACAGTTAGAAGCTCACTTGGACGAATTCAAGCTTGGTGTTTCCTATTTAGGAGTATGAAAGAGAGAGAGAGAAAAATACAAGAGAAGCGTTTATCTTGGCACATCTGTGGTGAGCCGAAAGGAGAACCAGTGAGGAATTAGTCCCAGATGAGCACTGACAGCTGACACCATCCTCAGTTTCATTAGATTTGTTTCGGCCCCATACTTTCACATACAGTGAGGCGATATGCTAACTCGCTGTGCAATAGGTCTTTAACAGCCAAGACTCTTTGCCTTTTTAGGCTGTTCACGTGCACACACTCTGAGTTGAACCTTTCTGATTTTCCTTCCAAACAAATGGACATATCCGTACAGCTGGGACCCAAACCAGAACAGCCAGTCAGTTTTTTCTTTCTTATGCACTTTGGTTCATGGATTTTGCACTGAGGTGGAAGTGAATCATTTCTAACAATTAGGTTTTATGTGATAAACGCAGACTCAACAGGCCTGGCTTATTGTTGCTCTCACTCCCATTCTTGCTCCTGTCAGGTGCAGCTGATGAGTTTTGCTGTTTTGCATGTTGCAGTTGTTTTGCATTCGTCCTTCTTGGATCTGTTTTTCCTGCTCCGTCCCGTCAAGGGAACCTGCCTCCCGATGCCATAACTTGTGACGGCAGTCGACATAAAGGAATTTGTGCAGACTCTCTTTCTGATTCCGGACAGTATGGGGGCTTTGCTCGAACGGCAGAAGTTATTTTTCTTTATTGACGCAGAAGCTGGTGCTTTGACGATTCTCTAAACTCAGGCAAACTTTTTTTTGAACCCGCCAATAAAATGATGAATAAGGATTCTCGCTTTTCAAGGAAGATGCACAGCAACTTCTCCACCCGCAGGCACTCATGCATTGGGTATGTATCCAGTTGTGCGTCAGGGGTACTGTGATTGCGATGATCTTTAGTGATGGGCAGTGTAGGCAACACGAGTTTGCAGACATTCAGGAAATATTGGAAGCTGGCTTGTTTCTGTTTCTGGCTGTATATAAATATAAAACACAAGCTGATGGGTAACAATTAGACACCTCGTCTCTGTCATCGCATCATATCGATTTGATCATCTGCTCGTTCTTTGTTGTGTATTTTTTCCAGTAGTTGCTATAGTTCATGCTTTAAGGTAAAATGTATTTGACTCAGTGCATGCAATGCTGAATCTGCACCTGTGTGCTGTTTAAAACTCTGGATTAACTTAAATCCAGTCTAATGCCCGTTAAAACTAACGCAAGTGGCTGTGTGTGTGCCAGAGCCAGGGGCTGTTGCTGTTGGGGTGCAAGCCTTGGGTGGCATGCTGGATCAATGTCTATGTTCTCTGACGTCTCTCTTTGTCGTGGGACTCAAGCCAAGCTGTGCTGTCTGCGTTAGGCACGGTATCATCATCATGTGGTGCAGGACTTTTATGTTTTATAAGAGCAATGTCCATACAAGTGGCAGATGTGGGAGACAACATCTGTGTTTTTATGTAGTCCTTTAAATAATCTGTCAAATCTTACAGTACAATCGTGATAACTTACTGGGGAGACTGATGACGCGAACACCTGGCGTAATTGGAGATGTGCGTAATCAGGAAAAATGTCAGATCTACTAAATCTGTGAAAAAGACCACGGAGGACACTTTGTTTCAATTTACAGACATAAAAAAACAAAAGAAAACAAAACAGAGATTTTAAATCGTTAAAATAAGAACTTTGATGCACACCGTGGGGAACCTGGGGACCTAAATGACTCCAGATGTAGTGGGGAGGGTTAATCTTCTTACTAAAAACACCCATTTTGGAGCTGTTGTGGATTCTTTTTTCTTTTTTTTTTACAGTGCAGTATGCATTGCAGCAAACTTTTCTGAACTCTGGGCATAAGGCATGTGCCTCACGAGTGTCATCCGAACTCCTCCAGCTGTGAGCCTGTTTGGATCATATGAGGAGATCAAAGCAGGAGATTTAAGACCACAGCCAGAAATACAGAAGCACAGAAGGGAACAGAACAAGCCTCTATTCTCTTATTACCTGATTTGTACATTGAACTTTCTGATTGAAAAAAAAAAAAAGAAACCCTGAAAGCATTTAGGAAGTTTCTCTTTTTAAGCACAAGTAAAGACGGCGACAAGTTTATTTATTGTGCGATAATGAGAAGAAGCCATTGCGACAGGAGTAATAGTTCTGAAATTAATTTAGATAGATATCTTTAGGAAAAATAATATCTCTGCCCTCTTGCCCCACACACACACACACACACACACACGCACACACAAACACAGACAAAGGAGTCTGTGTTATCCAAATGTGACCATCACAATAATGACACTCTCATCGTCTTTTGTACTGACAGTACCAGGACACTATTCATCTTCCCCCCCTTCCACTTCACTCCTTATAACTTTCTCCACAACACACAACACATTTTTATGGCTTCTCTGGTCGTGTGTTGCATAAAAAAAACAAACCTCATCATGTCGCTGCATTAAGCGAACATAGCCGGAGACGAGAGCTCTCAGACGGTATCATGAGAAGATAGTTTGAGGAGACGCCATTAATGTGAAGCAGGGAGTGATGGGGAGAGACATGGTGAGGTGAAAGTAAGAGATACAGCAGCAATGGCTGATCGAGTGGAAAAAGAAATAATCTAAAGAAATGGGGGGAAAGAAAAGAGGGTGGTGAAGGAGCGATAGGGTGCTTGGGTGGAGATAGGGCGGCTTTTAGCACACAGATAACGAGTGCAGTAGTAGACTAAGAGAGACAGCAGGCTCCCAGGCTGAAAACACAATATAACGATACTCTGTAGACATGCTTAGAAATGTTGGAAAGAATAAAAAGGAAAACAAAAGTGCCATGTAAGGTCACTCAACCAAAGGTTAACAGTGTCAATGTCAGAGGTCCCAATATAGCTGCTCGTCCCCCCTCCACAACAAACACACGCCCAGATTAGTCAATAGGGCCTGTGTGAAGCTGCTCTGTGCGTCACTGCTGTACTCCATATTTTCAGCATGACTGATTTCCCCAATCGCCTCCAGAGCCTCATCGATTCCCGAGCAGCGGCCTGGGACAGCACTAACGCTGCCGAAACTCAGCACCAGCTGCTCTACTGTATTCAGAGTGCGAGAGGACGTAACAGGCCTTTCTTTTATCCAAACTTCAGAGAGGATCATTCGGCAAACAAAAAAAACCCAATAAATAAATAAATATATAAAACAACTTACATGATTGTTTTCCAAGAGAAAGTTTAGATAATTACTGATGAATATTGGCATTTCTTAAAAAAAACCACAAACTTTTTTTCCCAACACAATCTGTGTGTCGACAATACCAGGCCGAATGGTTTGCTACCACTAGAGGGGGAAACCGACTAAGTTATACCGAGACGTGCTGCAGAACGAGCGAGAGTTCAGTGAACGACTGGGAGCTGTGCGCATTTGATGGATTATAACTGTGTTTATAGGCTTTTTTTTAGTTCCACTAAACGGACTCCATGTTGTGATTGTGTAGTGATGCTGTATTCGCTACATTAGATTACGCATTGCTCTGTGTGACAAGCTTTTTGTCTTTCAAATTCACAATTTTACTAATTTGACTACTTTTATTTCTGAATCTCTAGACGAGTCGTTACACATCGAGGGCCATCGCTTTTATTCTTATTCAGTTTGAAGGTTTTAAGAGTCTAAAACACTGCCAGACAAAAAAAAAAACAAAAACTGATCCTCACACTTCACTTTTTACTAAATGGCTGCTTTCCAAACAAAGTTCAACTCTAACAGTGTTACAGGATGATCGGCTGCGAAATACCAAAGCTGAGATTGTTTTTAGTTTCTAAAAAAAAGTACATTTATTGTTCAGTGAGGTATTAATTTACTGTATGTATAACTAGTTTTTTCACAAACCTTACTGCAACAATTGTACCCACTACAAACATGGACGTATTTATTGAATATACGAGGGTCACATAGTCGGCCAGAGCGATGACACTATCCTTTCTGTCTGTTCAAAGAAGTTTAGCTATACATTTAACCCTTGAAATGTGATGTTATTATTATTAAGAAAAAGAAGTGCATTTCCAACAATATGTTTCAGTCTTTCCACGTCACATATAAATGCTGCTGTAGGAAATGAAAGAAATGTGTCAGCACGACTGTTTGGACTTAAACTGTAGGAAATACATATGTAACTGTAGGTAATAGATATGTAACTGTAGGAAATACATATGTAACTGTAGGAAATAGATATGTAACTGTAGGAAATACATATGTAACTGTAGGTAATAGATATGTAACTGTAGGAAATACATATGTAACTGTAGGAAATAGATATGTAACTGTAGGAAATACATATGTAACTGTAGGAAATAGATATGTAACTGTAGGAAATACATATGTAACTGTAGGAAATAGATATGTAAAGTTACAGGAGAGAGTTCTGGTAACTCATTGGTTGACTGACTTGTAATTAGAAAACTAAGAAAAGGTCTGTATCAGCAGAAAATGCTATAAAACGTGTGAAAATACAGTAAAAGTCCACATGTTTAAGCCCTTATTTACATTTCCTAAAGCCATGGAGTGTGCCAGATTTGAGTCTTTAATGGGCCAGTTTTAATCCCCAGGGCTTAAGTTTGCCATCCCTCTCTTAGGGCGTATGCAAAGTCCCTTTTTTCTTATTTATTTATTTGTTTTTTGGCAGAAATAAGATTATTTTTTTCATACATTTTCCTATGTTTTTTATTCCATAATCACATCCTTGGTAAAGCAGTATTCACCTGAGTGTGCACACAAGCCCATGTGCTTATTAATGTGAGTTTTGTGTGTATGCATTTGTGGGTTTTTCATATGTGTGCGTGTCTTTGTTTGCGCAAGTTTGTCATCCACCCAATCCTCAAATAAAATGAGCCTCAAAAGCAAGCCGTCGTACTAGCAGATGGCAGCCTAATGAATCATGAGGTGACACACTAGCCTTTACTACAGTACACGGTGTAGCATGACGTTGACATCACAGAGACGCCGAAAGTTAAATATAGGCCACAAGCAACAGCCAAAGCCTGACACCTGGTGCTGCTTCTTTGTTACATGCTCAATATTTTTGATGACATTTAGCCTGTGAAGAAATAAGTTGAACTGCCTGTTTTTTGGGAGGGGTTTTGTGTTTTTTGTGAGGAGGGGGTGGTGTCAGTTTTGCAGTTCAGGTAGCTGTGAAGATGCGTAATTGATACGTATTCAGCAGCATGTAATTCCTTTAAAGGAAGCAGTTAGTTTTGTGAATATTCCTTCCTGGTGATCCTGTTACATGCCGTGTGTGTATGTTTGTGTGCAGCTGCTTTAATAACACTGCTAAACTTTGCTGTGCCAATCTCAGTCAACACATTTAATTTACGACAAAAAAAAAAGTGTTTCCACTTTCCATTTCCACTTGATTTGACATGAAGTCTGGGTGTGAAGGTGTGTTCACACCCAGATGTTCTGCACCGGCAAATTTAGGAGGACAGCATGTGACGTCTAACATCTGTGTGATGTGATCAGTGCAGTTTACTTACAGAGCATTTCCTTGCTTCTACAGCGCAAGATATAGAAGAACAAACTGTTTGCAACCATCGTGGCATCTGTTTTAATTTTGTTGGAATGAGATCATGATAAGCATTGAGCAATGAGAGGGTATTGCTTAATTGCTTTTAACTCTTTTTTTGGGAACAGTGTGGCTTCCACACATACCCACATTTTCAATTTGAAGGTCATTTTTCACTTGATTGAAGCTTCTATTGCCTATTTGGACTAGATGTTGTGCAGGTGTGTAGATCTGTCATCTCTGGATGACAAAGGCAAATAAAATGTACATTTTTTGGAGAACTGTGTCCTACATATTCTGCAATTTAAATATGTCCTT